TGCCTACGTGTTAAGGCTTATACATGCATGCATTTGGGGAACTGCATTGCATTTGTTCTCTCTTATGTGCTAGATTCGCAGGACCACGATTCGAGTTAATTCCGAAGGACGAAAATCGCGAAAATAAAAAGTCATAAAAAAATTTCATTTTTCAATACTTTCACATTAATATACATTTCTGTGCAAGCCTCGCCAAGTTGCACTCCCGCCGGTGAAAGCGGTCGAATATGCGCATGCCGTTGCGCCGCTTTTGCCTCACTCCACGTCCGAGGACATTCCTGGAAACTTTGGCCGTCGTGGCGTCGCTCTTCCACACCGTGTTCGCAGGCTGCAACATCTGCTTTCGATTCACTCATGCACGCACTTACTCGTCCTTTCACTTACTCATACACTTACACTCACTCCGCCCACGCATGTTAATCGAGTCCGGACAAACCTGAAGTTGCATGGCCTCAAGAGTATTTTAGATTTAATCACCGGATGCCTATCATTCGAATATTCTTTAATCCTCCAAATCTCGTCGAAAAAAGAAATTCGAAAGAATATTTGATGAGAGAACCTGGTTAAGAAGGATCGAGAGGAAGCGTTATAAATTAAGATTCCAGATCTAAGAATATCATTCAGATAAGATAAGCTCAACGAAGAGGTCATTTTCCTCACCAAAGAAGATATACGACTAAAAGAGATTCCCACCCACGAAGGAGAATGATTCCGGATCCTCAGGCATTTTGTGTGATAAGTCAGGACTTTGTAGACTTCTGAATGCCTCGAAAAATGCTCGTCATCAATTTACTCTGCGATCCTTCGCGTGCCTTTAAATTCCCTTTAAATTCCCTGATCCGGGCTTGGACGATCCGATCTGGTCCGGATTGAATCGGCTTATCTTACCTTCGAAATCAAAGTTCGCGATGTCGTCCGTACGGCCTGAAAGGTCCAAAAGGACATTTTGACGACATGCGGGCACGGTCGACTGCTACCTAACCAAAACGGCCTGAAGATATTTGGCAAAGACATGTCAATTGTTCTGTGAGATGCACCCAGGAGTTGTGAATTTTTCGTTTTTACAAGAGTCGCGGCGAGCATTCGGGTGAAAGCTGCCGGCTCATATTCGGACGCTCAAATAGGGAACCCCGACTTGAGAACAGAGCTTCTAACGAACGTGGCACAGAAGAAATTGCGGTCGATGCAGCTAAAAACGGTGCATGTGCGTGTACGACGCCATGATTTCACCTCAAGCCTCCCCCCCCCCCCTCACCACCCCTGCCGCTGATCCGCGCAGTTCTTTGTTGTCCTTCAGACATAGTGGACGCGATTATGGGGTTCTATAATATTGGGACTAATGAATTGCATACAGTCTCTATCGTCGACAGGTAGATCTACTCATAATATATCGGGGCGCTTGCGTGCATAATTGAGAAGCCGGTTGTGAGATATGAAGATATGCGTATCCCACGATTGGTCTCGTGAGAACCGAATCGAGTTCTACGAGTCAAGTTGAATGCGAGGAAATATGCAAAAAAAAATTAATCGGCTTTTGACTCGTTTTATTTCCCTAAAAAAAAAGACTTGCGATGCAGACGATTCGATGCATATTTTGATTGATTGTTCCCGTTATCCTAATATGCGTATATACACACATTCCTCCGTACAGTAAAAAGACGATACCGTCGAAAAATACTAATTTGACGAAGATGGAATGGGAAAAATAGAGCGGGGAAGAAAACTGTTGGATCTGCCTTCTGCCTACAACGCCTGTTCCTGACTTGCATTTACGGAGCAGTTTCCTTTTTTTTTTTAAGTCTTCGACTTCTCAGCCTCAATCCTGATATTCCAAGAAATCTAAGTTCGAGTAAATCGGTGTCTCGTTTGTTTAGTTTCGAGGATAAAACCACTTATGTTCGAACGGTAACGGTACATAGAAACTTCACGATCGTGAAGTTTCTATGTTTCTGAGGGCCTCGAGGCCCTCAGAAACAGGTCTCCCTTGCATGAGATCAACATATTACTGAGCGAAACGCATGCGGAAGCCGTGTTCATTTTGCACAATTTCCAAATATAGGGTCAATATAAATGCTATTTATTGCGAAGGTAACGCAAGGAGACGACCTCACTTGGGAAACGTTTCCCACGAGGTATCGTTCATTTCTGCGCTCAATTCTTATTCCACCGGAAAGTGAGGAAACAGAACTATACGGAATGCAGATGCTATGAACAGATTACTGCCTTGCATCCGGTGTGTTCGAGCTTAACCCTCTAACTACCAGAACCCGGACGGTCATATGTTTAACTCATTGTTTCATCTCTTCACTCTCGAAGAATCCCTTCAAAATACTTCGCCTAATTACTATCGCATGTCTTCATGAAAATGCAAGGAGTATCGGACTTTTCAAGTTCACACCTCAGCCTACATAAATGTCTAAGTTTTGGTATCAGAGTCCGTTGGATCCAGAACGGTAATTAAAAATATGAAACATCTAGCTTGTACCGTTTTGGTTGAACCAGCGAATTGCAAGGCTCGGAACATCGGTGGTTTTACCCTACTTTATTTCTACTTTCAAAGTTGAGTTTTTGCTTAAAGATACTCTCATAGACGTTGGACTTCTAGAAAGCGACTGCTTCTGTGAAACTCAGATCCGATTTCATGGCTAAATAGGAAACTTTTGGAGAATCAGAGAAAAGGCCAGGAAAAGAGCATCACTTGAGATCCTCTCTATGTTTAAAGTACGGATAATTATAATAATAAAACTTATTATATTTGTGACAGACTACACAGGTTTAATTTTGTATGTTTGGAACCCCAGATGTGTATTCGAAAAAATTTAGACGACATTGGAGGAAAGTCTTTCATGTGCAGGCCCCCTACGTGTAGACCGTCGAGGGGATTCCTCCAGAGGAATTCACGTGAGAGCTCCTTAGATTCTTCCCTAGTTCGTATTATCTCCAGATCTCCTCCTCTCCTTCTCCCCCCCTCCTTCTCCCTCCTCCTTCTCCCTCCTCCTCCTCCTCCGCCCGGGATCTCACTCAGGCTGCGATAAATCATCCTCCCTAATTGGCCGGAGCCGGTTTCGCCGGGGAACACTAGGAGGACGCAGGAGAAAACTTCGGCATGACATGGAAAAGGGAGAGTTATACCTTTTCGCGGTCCTGACAAAGCACGACAGATGCTCTGGATCTCATGACATGTCCACCAGGAAACGAGAGATGACATGCGGTGGTCATGAATCAATACTGCCTCCTTTCTATCTTCCTGTCGTAATTTCTTTTTCCTAACTTTCCTTTTTTTTTTCTCCTTCCTTCCCTCCTGCTGCATGCTATTGCCAAAAGTAGAGACCGAAGAACAATATATTCAGCGGGATCTGGTGGGATGTGCATGCGACACGTGTTGCTCCAGATGCCACGGACTAATTGGAGGGTGCAGCATACTGTGACATTGTTGTCGATCACAAAGGCACAGCCAGCTTTCATCGGCATTGCGCAAGAGAGAGGACTATTGTGAAAAACTTGCGGGTCCCTGGGGTTTCTTTTCTTGTCACCCGTTGCATTCCAAACACTGAGATCAAACCCCGAAAAAAAAAGCAGGTAAAAAAAAAAGGGAAATCTGTGTCATTGCATACTGAAACAGGCGGAACCCCCTGCTTTCCAGGGATTTAAAGCCTCCTGCTGAGAAGGCGGGTGCCTGCGATGAGGAAAAAACAACGTTTTTTCTGGCTTTTCTTTTTTATTTATCCATTTCAGCTTATGGCCGTAAATAATGAGGTTGGGCTAGGGAAGCAGATGATAGAAAAACGAAGTCCTCGTAAGCGCAGACCGATGGTCCCCCGTCCACAGTATCCAATAATCAAGAACGATCAGTAGATAAAAGGGAGCGTCTTTCAGACATTGTCAATACGGGGTGGGAATAGATGGGAAAGAGAAGAGTGCATGCAAGAGTCAACAACTCGGTGCTCGATCCCAATTAGCCAAGCATGTTTGTGAGGAAGGAGTTAGGTTTGTCAGTGCGATCTTTTATAATAATTGCCTCGCCCATGGGAGGACGTGGGAGCCTATTACCTGGGCATGTCACTCCCGTTTATCAAGTCGGTGGCAGCGGGGACCAATATGTTTATTCCCTCGTCTAATTAAGCAGCGTGTTTGCTCAGATTTTCGGCGGATTTCGTGGATGATGGTTGCTGACGTGGCCGATGCTTGCATGTGATTACCGGCCCTTCCCACGATGCCTTGACTCTCACGATTCACGCCACTCCTGTTCTTCCCTCATTTCCCTGCATTCTGTTTACATCGACACTATTCCCATCGTGTTTCGTGGATCTCTGAAACTTTTAAATTGCACCAGCTTGAATCTGAATTACAGATGAAATAATAAAAAAAGGTGTGTGTGAATTGTTCCACCTTGACAATGCATTCAATGCTGCAGTTCCCAGGAAAAGAAATCCAAATGAAAGTGAGCAGTGGTGAGAATACGTGCGGGATACGTGATTGTGCTTGTCCGTCAAGAGTCCTTGGCGTAATTACATTCGCCTTCTAATCTCTACATGCGAAACTCTCACAAAAATGTCACGGGCATTGTTCTTGGAGTAGGAAAAAGACAGTGAAACGTTTTTGAGATCTTTATTCTCGCATGAGGTGAAGTAACTCTGCCTGCCAAATGCAAAGACTTACACAAGAGTGTCTAATAATTACGTCTCGTAATACCGTACACACGAGAGATATATATGGTGGACCACATTCGACGGGCAGTCCTCTGAGGATCCCAGAGCGTCAAACGCAGCAGACGAGAGAATAAACCGAACGTCTCCAGCGATTCCCGTCAGTTCCGCGTCAGAAGCCTGAGAAACTTAGGAAGGAAACACCGGATCTGAACACACTTCGTACATCTATCATGAGACTTCATTGTTCGTGCCTCTGATTGATCCCTTACTGTTTGGCTCAGACAATATCACAAAAGTAGCGTGCATCACATCATAACCAAAAAAAAAAACAACAAAACAACTATTTGGATTCATCGAGAAGTAAAAGAGGAGAGATTAATTCCCGACCTCGCAAAGCCCTCTCAACTACATCAGATACCCAGGTGATGAAGTCCGAGACGGTGTGAAACCGCACAGAAATGACTGGCTCGAGGTGCAGATCACAACGGCTAAAGCGTATGAACGGATACAGCCTTTCCGAGGATCATCCATAGATGGGGTGCGTGGAGAAATCCAGCTCTGGATGAATCCCCGGCGGTTCCGTGGGAACTGGAGTGGACATTCCGTCGTTGTTCCCGCCTTGGACTTGCACTTGGGCCTGCTGACCGTTCCCACCGTTCCCTTTCTCGTTCTCCTGCTGCTGCCTCAAGAGGCTTCTCCGCCATTTGGCACGTGCATTCTGGAACCAAACCTGTACATATACCGGGCATGACGGTCCTTTCCACCCGACCTTCCTTACTTTATTCAGTGTCGGGACGGAGACGAGGAATCTCACCTGAAGAACCCTCTTGGAAAGCCCTGTTTTCTGGGCCAGTTGTTTCAGGTCCTTGGCGTCCGGGTTCTGGTTCAGGGCGAAGTAGGACTTCATGGTACGAAGCTGGTGATGCTTGAACGAGGTTCGCATTCGCTTGCTGCGCTGTCCCCCCTGACCTTGCTGTTGTGTCGCACCTGTGAGCGAGGATGGGTCGTATGTCATCGGGTCAATCGGTGCCATTCCTGCCCCACCCATCAGGTCTCCTGTTATCCATAAAATAAACAAAGACGATGAGTAGGACCGGTCGATCATTCTATCGTGCACTGGGAATGGAACGTGTAATAAAAAAAAAGAGGCAAGGGTTCCCAGGTTATAGAATATGCATGGTCGCATAACAGAACAGAGGAGGGGTGTAACTTGATGGCAGATGCATGAATGATTTGTCTATGGTGGCAGGACTTCATTTTCATGGAGATGATGAGAGATCGGATTTTCCATGGAACAAAACAATGTCTGGCACAGAGATCCAACACGCGGGCTGACAGATTCCTGCTGGGATCTTGTCAGCCAGTCACTCAGCATGACATGACACCCTATGGGGGTACCCTGACGCCCGCTGGGCATTATGTCCACACTCCATACACCATCTAGTTGTATATGAGGCACGCGCTTAGGCATGTAACCCTCATTCAAAAGAGAGAAAAATGAAAAAAACCGAAGGGCGCCCTTTTTCCGCCCCACAACCCGCTGAACTTCATGAAAGCCCCTTTCTCTTCTTTATGACCTAGGCTATGAAATAACGACTTTTTGATACTCCCGGTCATCAGAGCTGCGAATTGATTGCATGCATTCCCTCTGTTCCCGTGACGGTTGCATCTGACTTCATCCAAAACTAACAGTCTCTATCCCCCCTCCACATAGATCGGTACCGCTTGAAAATAATTCGATCCGCCATTAAACCGATCCTCGGTTACCATAGCGACGGCAGAAACCACGAGCGCGAAGGTGAACGGCTGATGCAGGTAGCCTCACTACGTGAGACGGTCCCTCTCTTCCCCGATCGGGAACTATAAACAAGGCCGTATCTCCTTCCGCATCTCGCAGCTGGGCGTATAAGACAGACAGGCCGTCAGGAGCGAGCGAGAAACGAGAAACAATGCCAGATGCTTCTGTCTCTCACGTAAGGACGAGTAAGTCTGCTAGCACAAGTATTCGCTCCTGCAGCAATGCCGTCTCTGTAGATCGCTTGCATCTCGGGGGTGCAGCTCCAAACTTCTTCGGTGCTCAGTCAGCGAAACGAAGTCGCAACCGTTTCTCAAATTCATCCATCTGTCAGAAGAGAAACACAACCTTATTCGCGTGACTTCCTCAAACGAAGTCATTAGCAAGAACTCAGCGGCCTGGAACTTTTTTCTCGCAATCATTTGCCTTTGGCCCGTTCGAAGGACTTGGATGAGAGCCAGCATATGGCGGCCGGACGTCCAATTTGACGAGTCAGATCCTATCCATGTGGCAGGACCCACCTGATGTCAACTACCCTGCAAGCCAGAAATCTTTTTTTTTTCTTTTATTCTTCTCACAATGCACATTGTCATGAAACTGGTTTTTCCTGCTCCGATCCTATCTATCCCCCATCCACAAGGTGAAAGGGGGAGTACGTCACAAGAGCGCCACCTCTTCGAATCGCCCTCGCCGTACCCCCAACTTGGGAGTCGGACGTGTTTGGATTGGACGGAACAGGTGAGAGAGCGAGGAAGGAGAGGAAAGGGAGGATTCCACGCGATTGTTTTTTCGAGAAATGCTTGAAACACATGGGTCGCGGGGTGGCCCGCTGAGAGGGCTAACAACCGTGCAACTCACTCCTTTTGTCGGCACCTCGGAGTTCTGGTTTTCTTGCGGCTGGATCTCCGTTTCACAGAGAGCCCTAGCTGGGTTCCTTCTTCCTCCTTCTTCCGTCTCTCTTCCCCTTCCCTTCTGTTCCCTCCGCTTCCTTCTCCCCCCCGCACCCACTTCTTGTCAAGGGTGACATGTTGCCCTTGGTGTCCAGTTACTCTTCCCATGGAATCAGTCAAGTTGAGGACGCAATGTTGACTCACTAGCTCCCTTCCCTCCCCCGCCGTTGTAACCAGCTCATACCTTTTTACATGGAACAGTTAAATGAATGTGACTCTTCACATGTTTATTCCCAAACCATGTAGTCTTGTGCGTCATTCGCCTATTACTATTTCATGAATCAACTCCGAATCGAAGAAGCCGATAATAGAACGATGACAATATTTTCCGACATGAGGCGAGAATTGATTCACGCCCACCCGAGCAAACTTCGCATCTTAGACGCCGTGTATGGATTCATCTCAGCCCATACATCATAATCAAAAGGGAGAGGGGAAAAAAAGCGAGAGAAGCGATAGGTCCCCTTCGAAGTATGGATGTCAGTGCACAAACATCTCGAGATGAAGTGGCGAAGTGAGACGCCTCCTCTGACATCCCCCTGTGTATTTATTTTCATAAGAGAGGAGTGGAAACATATGTTACGTATGATAGGGAAGAGGCAAACCTATGTCATTTTGTGCCTTATCGGATAACTGTCACATTCCACCGGGAACCCTATGAGAAATGGACCGCCGGCCCTCGGACATGGGCCTACCGTGTATAAACGACTCCAACGACCCGCCCCCCTTCCCCTTCCCCTTCCCCTTCCCCTCCCCCTCCCCCCGACTACAACATTTTATTCGGTGAACTAAGTCGTTGCTGAGGGGAATGAATGTTGAACTCGGCCGACCGGGCCTCCCTTGGCCGCAGGTTGTTATATCGGTCGGGAGCCCACGAGTTAAAAAATTAAGTCATTGAAAGGAATGTATTTTTGTTGCGGGACTGGCTCCCCAGCGGCTCGATCGCCGATCGAGCGAAGAAGCCGATGGACCGGGAATCGTCTCGTACGAGGAAATGTCGTTGAATTGGGGAAAGCGGGCAGAGGTTGGGGCGAGGTGTGAATCATAGCCGTTGGGCCGAAATTCCCAGGAATGGGAGGGGACATTCCCAGGAATGGGGGAATCCTGAGTCATTCCGTCTTGTTATTGTTTTGCCTAAGATATGAATGAGAACTTTCTTCCTTCGCCGACGACGTCGGGGAATCGAGGAAGCCTTGCATGGCATGGGGTCACATGAGGTGTCGAAGGGAAAGGGAGAGGAAAGAGAGGAGGAATCCAAGGAAGTTTCCATTCTTTCTTTTTTCCTGGAGGCTGGGAAAAATTCAGCTGGTCCGGTTTTTCCCCGGAATTCCGTGCTAGCCGAGGGACCCGGATCGGAGTTGAGAACTGGAGACCGGAGAACGATCGATTAGCCTCAACGAGGCTAATCGACCGTGCAGTTTCACTCGAAGAATTCCAACTGAGATTCTCGCGACTCCGTCCGAAACGAAGCTCGAAAGCAGCTGAAGCGTCTGATCGGGATGGGCTGCGAGAATCCGTCGCGACTCTAACGTAGTAGCAACTCGGGGAGAATTTTCGCAGGAACCCGGTGGAGGCTATCCACGCGGCGGTTTGACTTGACACTCCGTCTTCCGCCTCCATTTGCTGGACCGTTTGTTTACCTCCTATGCATGCCCTCGTTCCGACCTCCATATTCTCCTTCGCCGTGCCCTCCAGTCTGACCTCCATTCCGACCCTCGGTTCCGTCCTCCGATCCATCTTTTGTTCTGCCTTCCGTCGTGCACTCCAGTCTGACCTCCGATCTGCCTTCCCTGCCCCCTTCTCCCCCCTTCTCCCCCCTTCTCCGCGATTCGAAGGCGGAGGCATGGGAAGCCTTCGTCCTCCTGTCGGCCGACGTTCCTCGCATCGAACGGGATCGTCGTCCTCTTCTGCCGTTGCGAATGGATGGAAACTAATGAGAATTTTTAGGGGCCATACACTCGCGTTCTCCTGCAAGAGGGAAGAGCCCACGTACCAAATTAACCGAAAGTGAGACGGGAGATCATTTTATCGACGACATAAAAGTAGGGCCGTGCAAAAGGCCTTTCGGTCTCGGCCGAAGCAGATCGTGTTCCGCGGATTGCGAACGAGAGAACGAGACGACATCGCACACTAATTCAAATAGGCTCATTAGGAAGCCATGTGGTGCCTATCATCCGTGGACCTTCTTAAAACGATGGAGACTGCTTTTAGCCCAGTCCGGCCCGTCTGCGTCCGTCGGTAGCCAGCTTCTTACTTATTGCTGCTGCTGGGCGACACGTCTCTCGCGAAAGCACGAAAGGAGGTGCAGTGATTTTCCCCTTTTTTTTTACCGCTATTTCCTCCGCCGGTTCGTACGATCGGGCGGACATATCACCCGATCGATATTTTCGTCTGGGAGAGGCCAGCGCCCGCCCTCGTTCCTAATTTTTTTTTTAATCCTCCTTCGAGAATCGGCAACTCGCAACTAGACCGATGGTGCAACACCGGCGACCGATACCGGTGGTCGCCGACGAGTCGGCACTCGCAAAACGACAGCCGACGCGATCGAGTTTCTTTCGCGCAAACTCGTTCGCATCTCAACGGATTTCTCTCTCGTCCCAGGAAAAAAAAAAAACCATAATAAATATTTAATTCCTCGAGTTCGGTGGAACGAGGCGGACTCGAGCGCCAATCTCGTCCCGCGAGCTCGGTTTCCCTTTCAATATTTTACCGACGGAGTAGAAGCGGGCCGGTGATCGATGGCGGAAGCGGGAGAAAAAAACGGAGAGCGTATGGAGAAAAAAAAGAAAAACGGAGAAAAAACGTGGAGCGACCCACTCTGGTCCGAGTCCCTCGGGAGTCCGAGAGCGACTGACTGACGTGGAGCTGCTTACGTTCCGGCATCCGCTGCCTGCCTTCGGCCTTCCCCATGCTCCTTCGTCTGCGGGCTGGCGGTCGGACGTGGAGGGTCTCCCGAGGCGAAGGGTCTATGGGCGTTTCAGATCCTATTTTTAGGGGGGTCGGCTGGGTCAGTGGGTCCGGCATTTTTGCCAAGGGTCAACTAAATATCTGGGGTGGGGGTGGGTGGGGGGTGGGGTTGTCAAGCGAGTCCTTTTCGTGGAAACCGGGAGAGTCTCGGTCTCTTCTTCCAAATTTCCGTCGTGAGGAAGGAGACGAAACAGAGAGCTTTACATTTATTTTCTTTATCTCGGATGCATCGTGTATTCCCGAGTTTCCTTCTACTTTCGCTTTTCGAGTGCATCTGTTAATCTCGTGATGGCGGGACCGATGACGCCATTCGGTAGTCGATTTCGATCTGGAACGAAGAACGCGTTCGAGAGATATTCGACGGAACGGTTCGAAAGTCCCAAATACGTAATAAAAAAATATATATATTAAAACGTACGTCGGCTCGACTCCAAGAAAACAGAGAACGTCCTGCAAGTAACGGCAGCTTCCAAACGAAATAGCTGCCAAGCCAAAAACCAAAAGTGGTTTCCAGTTTTTTCTCTCGATTCCCCTTCGCAGGAAAGGATCGACCGAGCAGTCCTCCCCATTCCTGGAAATTTTCTCCCCGCGGCGAGGACTAAGACCTTGTCACCCCCAGGATATTTTTGTCGCATCCTACTGTCGCTCTCGGCATGCCAGACAGGCTCATTTTTTCGTGTTCCCGAACGAGGCTAATGTGCGTCTCAGTCTTCCCATCCTTGTACCATTTTACGCTACAGATACAAAAAAAAGCAAACCGGGCAGAGGACAGGCCTAAGAATCGCGAGATATAGATATGACTTGAGCTCGTGAATTTCCACAGCGTTATCGCAGGAGCTCGCCGGCCCGGGCATGCCGTAGCAGACGACGGCCTTGAAGCGGACGATGCGGATGACGTCAATGGGTCGGTGCTGCCACCTGGCCCATATCGATTGCATCGCATCGCTCCTCGCCATCTCCGACTGGGAAGGACAAGGGGCACGGGCAGTGCGTGCTGGGCTTCCTTACGTGACTCGTCGGCTTCGTCTTGCGTCCCCCCCCAACTGCCGTTTCTGTCTCTCTCTCTCTCTCTTTCTTTCCATTCTTCCCCTTTTCCCACTTCCGTCGACATGGGCAAGGAGAAGCCGAAGGAAACGGTCGTGGCTCGTCCTGATGAATTCTACAGGAAGCCCCCCGAGTACGGGAGATTGGAGGGATTTCTCAAGTTCCTCTACAATCCCGACGACAAGTCCTTCCTTGGCCGGACGTGCGAAAGCTGGGGTGAGTACATTTCGATCATTTCGAGTTTGTTCTGAGCTACGAAGCCGATGTAGTTGCTCCGTCTGGCGCCTAAGTTAGCATTCGCCTTGCCGGCCTCGGCAAGGAAGCTGATAAATGTCGAGCGAACGCCTTCGACAGATGAAAGAAACTCTTTTCTTTGGACCTAAACCCTCATCGGTATAGGCGTAATGTGGTGGTCGAGTTGTAAATCTCGTGCCTGATGACATCTCTTGGCTTGGTAATTTAGCTAGGTGAATAGTTCCTTGGGTTGTGACCAAGTTGGCTCGTCCCCACAACTGCTGGCCTACTCTGCAAGATGTGGGCTGTTAGTTGACAGTGCCACATATATTGACCATGTCCAGTCCTGCTTTAAAATAGTGATGTGATTGAAGCACTCAGCAATTAATATGCAATTCAGAATTTAGGCATAATAGTCCAAGCTGGACTTGGGCCTAGGCCTATGGCCTAGATCTCATTCATACCTGCATTTGCTACAGGAAATAGGTCTCCCACCACTCAGTAGCTGTTAAACAAGGGAAGAAAGACAGGAGTCGACTTAGTTCCAAAAGTGGAGTGGGAGATGTGGGAGTAGAAAGTCCTATAGAGGACAATTTTCTTAAATGGTATCTTCCATGAAAGGTTATACACCTGCAAGGAATCCTCTTCCCCCATGTTTCCTCACTAATCAGCTTTTGTCAGCAGACCTGATGTCCTGGTTGATAGCATGATATTTCCTTTTTTTTTATCTATTCATGAAAACAGACGTACTATATTCATAATGCAAATGTGCTCTATCATGGGAGGAACCATGACCAAGCTGAATCAAGGAATTGTTAGTGTTAACTTTGGTTTTTAGAAGATTCAGTTATATTCTAAGTGTGTTAGAAAATTTGATTTCTTGATGGCTTCTAATTAATATTGTTTTATGCTCAGCAAAGTTGTCAATGCACAAAAGACGTAAAAATAAAGGCCGAGGGACCTGACTTGAGCATTTTGGCTGGGCCTTAGGGAATGGAGTGGCCAGCCAAAGGCTACTTTCCTGTATTTTGCAAGAATGAGTAGCAGATGGACTCATTTGTAATAATCCTGACACAGGTGGTTGGCCAGAAAGTATAAACATTGGATTCCTTCAGGGTCTTATAATCTTGTATGGTTTACCAATGTTCCATCATGTTACTGGGGCTGGTAGCATGACCATACTTGTGTCTTGTTTACTTCGTCATATCCCATACCAATGAAGGAAAAGAACCTGTTATAGCAACATTAAGTAATACACAATGAGGCAGTATGAAAGTTATTCCAGAAACTGAAACACCAGTAACACCAAAGGATTTCTTCTTAGAAGTTCTTTGGCTTGCATAGCTTTGTATTCATTTTATATCTGACTTTTCATGATCAGAGTTCAACTCTGTGTGCTGGTCTGATCCCAAGTTCCATCACAGCATTGACCCACAAGTACTGTTGTGGTCTGGATGGGAGTAGTTTGCCAGAATTAAGTCTATGATTAATACATAGATTTAATATCCACAAGTTATCTAATTCCAAGCATCAGTGTTTTAGACATGCCTCTTTTAGGTGAAGCCTCTCTCTGTCTCTTTAAGATATTTCTTCTTGCTGGTTTTTTTTTTCCATCTGATCAGAATTTAAAAATAAACTGCCAGTTGAAGCCCTGTCAAATTAAAAAGTGGATAAGGAAAGGGCATTAGGTCAACTGGTAGCTATACCTGTAAAATGAACATCTGAAGGTGCAGTTTAGAAGTGACTAGTAGCCAATTGGTGGTTAAAGTTTGCATTTGTTGACTGAGAGCCTGGCTATGTGAAAGACCGGCAATTGAGTTTATATTTCAGCCGAGTAAAAGCCTAGACTATTTTTTTTTTAAATGTAGTTGGACAAACTGGAGCTCATTGTAATTCTGAGCGACTAGTCTCATTAGCATATTCAAGCTGACACCTACTTTCGGTATTTCACTGGTTACAAAATGGAAAATCTGATTTGAAATTTGAATATTTGCTTACTTCAATGTTTTTGAAAATACTGGAGCAATTTCCTGCCTGCACATATATGACATTTTGATGCATAAATTACACATTCTTGGCTGAAGGGCATCTACAATGGATATTTACAAGCCAAATGATGTTGATTAAGGTAAATTGAAGATCAGGTGAACCTTTGGTGTAGTGACAATAATTACTTATGCTTGCTGCTTCACTAAACACATAGGATGGTTTTTCTCATGAATCCTGGACCTCTTGATGTACCCTGAGGGTTTTCTGTGTAACTTCTTTTATATCAGGATGCATTTTAATGCCAGAAATCTGGTCCTTCAAGGTCAAAGTAAGAATTCCTGCATGAAGGGACCATTTCAAGCTGTGTTTGCACCTTTAGGTAAAACTTTTTATTCAGACTCCTTCAGCTCATTACAAGCAGTACATAGAACTGCTAAGTTGGTAGTGTTTTTTTTATACTTTCATTCAGATTCGTCCATTCCTAATTTTATATTCCAGTCTGAAATTGAAAACATGGCATTTGATAATTAAGGCACTGCTAGCTTTGAATCTTATTTAGCCTCTTGCTACAGATTCAGTTGCTTGTTTGAATTGGTATCTTTGGACATTCTACCAACAGTCTCCATGGTTGCCAAATTGGCTGATTTGATTTGTCCTCACCCACCATGTACCATTGATTCATGTGCTATAGCACCAATCGAGTGCAGCACGTACATGGCTGGTTTTTTTTTTATTTCCAATGCCAGTTGCTGTCCACCTTCAAGTATGGATGGCATGTTATCTGCTTTTACGGTGTTATACATTGTGGATGGTATTTTTTTTACTCGTGCAGTGGTGTCATGGTGTCGATGCTGATGATAATCCGTATATGTTGCCAGTTACTATTCTGGCAAAGATATACAAACCAAACACAGGCTTGGGGCATTTGTGTCTTGCTTTCTTTTTCCCACACAGAATACCTTTGCCCTGCCTGGAGTCACAGACATAGTGCTCAGACTGGACTGCAGCAGGAAAAAAAAATACAATGAAGTAGTCATGCTGGTCATAATTGCCAGTGCCTGCTGCTGGTGTCATCTGATTGGAGGCATGAATAAACTGTTGTTTCTCCACTTTTTATGCAACTTTGTAAGATCTTGTTTTCTGTATTTCACGTTCAAGGGGCGTGTGGGCGATTCATCTGTTTCTTGTTTATCTTCATGATCCAGACTGGTTGCACCAAGCAGCCCTTGTCTTTTCGTTTTGCAGCATGGTTAAAGCAATAGAATCCACCAGTATGCTCCACTTTCATACGGGCTAGATGTGCGAATTTTGGGGCCTGAGGTAGAAGTAGGGAAAGTCGGGTGCAGACTTCAATACCAGGTTTCCCGGGGGGGGGGGTTGACACTTTTGTTGGGCAGATTACTCTATGGACAATTTTTGAAGATTGGGAGGGTTTTCCTTCCGCGGGAAGCCGTAATTGAATTCGTCTGCGGGGAGAGATATTTGCAACATCCTTATTCTGTTGGTCGTCCCTTAGTTAATCCGAGAGATCTGCGTTGAGCCGAGTTCGACTGCGCTGTCGTCCTTTGCACTTATCAAGGCAGGCGTTCCCAGACCAGTGCCTTGTTCTGCGTACCCGATGTCCTTGTTTGATGCGATCCCATGCCGATATGCTATGGTGGTTTTTCGGGCGAGAAAGCATCGAAGCGAAAGTTTGTGCAGGCCTCGATACGTTCATGAATACCTCTGACTCTTAAAGTTGTAGTCGCAAAGCCCTTTGTATCATCAGTTTTCTGCTGGCTTCAAAGACCTTTCGGTTTTCTGTCCCCTGTCGATAAGTACCGTTTTCGGAAAAATCGAAACGAGGAAATCGATGTGATGTTCAACGTAGGATTCCAGTGTTCGATTTCTCCGCACTCGATCGAGATCTGCTTTCCGAGAAGAGCAGGACTGGGAAATCTCGCACATATCTTGATATGGGGGGGGGGGTCGGCATTTTGGTGAACCGTGTTTATGCTGATGCCCATTGCTTCTGGCTTACGCTGAAACATGTATCGACACGACGATGGACTTCATTTTCGACACGATATACTGCCCTACTTTCTAATCATTTTTGCAACATGGTACTCTGATGCCAACCAATTTATCTTGTTCGCGTTTGAAGGAGATCGCCGTCATGCTTGCCCTCTTGTTTATAAGTGATTTATGTCCGTAGGAAGAGGAACGTAACCATATATAGCTGCAGGATCGAAGAACTTGCCCCTCACTCTTTTTTTTTTCCTGCTTTTGGTTCCGATCTGTTTTTTTTTTTTAATGCAGGGCTTCGCATTTGATTTTGAAAGGTGTTATCTATCGTCCATGAGATACGGCTGAGGCTTGCGAAAAGGGGCACTTACCGAGTCCATCAGGGACGGTTTCGATGCCCTCGAGTATGATAATTATGATAACTAGGTTCGGTGACCGTGGGGTTGGGGGCATCGAGTGCCGCAATCGGGCGACCAGCATCTTTGGCGTCCGTTTTCGTTTCGCCGCCACGTGTCCCGTCCATAAAAATATTAATGACAAGGCGGGCACAGATGTGCTCCGGGTCCGGTTCTTCTGTCTTCAAGAAATTTCGTAACATTTCCGGAGATGCAGCCCCCATCCCTCAGCTGGAATCGATCTTTGAGTCATCTCTCGAATTCCCTGAGAAAGAAAAAGTTGAGACCCACTCAATGTGCACATGTGTTTGTCCGGATGACAAGAGACAGACTTAATGACTGGTATCTCAAGTTTCTCAAGTTTTTTCTGTGTTTTCAAGGTCGAAGTATGAAATGAGGTTTACTTCATCGGGTCTTGGATCGTGTCCGCACTCTGAGGAACGAAAACGGTAAGAGCGAACGGAACGAGTCGAGTAAAGAAGAAGCTAAGGCACGCCAGACTCGGGAGCTACAGACCCATTGTATGAAAATTACGTGACAACAGGTTTGTCCTTACCCTTCCGTTTTGGAACGAGCCGGCCCACACAATGTTTCCAGCTCTGGAAATTATTTCTTCGTTACCAATATTCGTTGTGGAATTTAAGGGAGGGGCTGGAAATGAACCTCGTCTCATGAATTTTTGCTTCCTGCTGGTGTTTGCCACGCGTGTTTGGGATCCCTTTAGTTAGAGATCGGATGCCGGAAACCCAAACTTAACCGAGTTTACTTGAAACCCGAATTCGAACGAAACGCTTATCCTCGATTAGTTCCGTTCGATTTATTTTTATCCCTTCAAGCCGTTTTCACGTACGCCGTACGTGCATCACTTAGGATGTCGAGTCAAAACTCAGCGCTTGAAGGGTCAAGACATGCGATTCCAATCGTATGTTATTGCCGCCTACTTCCAGCTCCAAACTATGAGTAAGCTCGGGCTGTACCCATGAGATGCAATGATTCGTCCCTCCCGCGATACCCTCGAGAGGATGAGACGTCTAGTGTGAGCATAAACTGAAGCCATCCCCGATCGTGGCATCTGGAGCCCGTCAGGCTAGTGACATACCCCAAGTTCCAACAGAGCCGAGGCCTCCCAGGATGGGGATGTAGACGTTCCTTCATCCTCGAGAAAGCATAATAGGAATCCAGGTTCGCAAGAGTGGAATTCCGCGATTTCTTGCTCCTTTTCTCTCGTTTTCTCCCACTTTCGTGTTTATTTCTCCTCGGCTCTTTATTTTTCTTCTGTTTTCCACCTCTCCTTCATTCATCCTCTGTCCTTTATATGATGTCTACCCACCAACTAAGGGTGGTTTCTTGCTCCCGTTAGCTGATAGTGGTCTTTTAGCTCCCTTACCTATGAGCCCGTAAGCAGATGTAAGGGGTACAAGAAATCGGGATAGGAGTTGAACCGATCCCTTGTAACCATGATGCTTCTTAGGGCAGTAGGCAAACGCTTTCGTCATGGCTGTGCTCCCAGGAATGCACCAGGATTGTATTTTCATCGCATGTCGAACGCACAGGCGAGGATAAGAACGTAATGGGCGGAGGGAACCGGATGGCGAAATGGGTGCCCGGGGCGTAGACGTACGACTCCGGCGTGTTTCAGGGGAGGGGGGACGTGACCCGAATGTGCTCGCGAGAGAGCTCTGTCTTCGCTTGACACCCGTGACGGGCCGAGAGATGAAACGACTTCCAGGAACGCTCCTCTCGATTCTTCTTCGAAGAAAGAGGAAAACCTGATGGAGAAGATCTCAGATACGAGAGGATCAGACTGGTAGCCTCGCCTGTAGATGATAGGCAAATCGCCTTCTGGGTTTCGTTTTAAATGTATGATGAGCTGCCTACTTACGTGCATGCATGGAAGCGAATTTATGAGACTGTCCACATTTTGCTCCATTGAGCTTAGTTTTTTTTTCCCTTGAGGTTCACATGCTTCTCCGTTTTTGTTTTCAGCCAAGATCTTCATTTTCTACGTGATCTTCTACGCGTGCCTGACGGCATTCTGGTCTCTTATGCTGTACATCGTGCTCCAGACCCTCCCCGAAAATAGCCCGACCTTCCTCACTGCCAGCAGCATCATTGGCGACAACCCTGGTGTGTTTCTCTTGGGGTCTCTTGTCTGCCTGGTTTTTATTTATTTATTTATTTATTTGTGGGAATCTCAGGGAGGATCGTTGATGAAAGTCGAATATGGCTAATCCTACCTTTGGGAAATAAATAGAAGGTAAACATTTTTTTGATGAGACACTTAACTCTGCTTTCTTTTTCACTACTCTGATAGAATAAATTTCCATCCTTAGAAGTATCAGGTTGTAAAGGTGAAATTTAGACATTTCGATTTTTTCTAGAAAAATCTGGAAAATGTTAGAAGGCCCCAGTCATTCTATGCTCACGGGATTGAAAATTTGCAGCAAAAGTGGCGAGATGTGATTGATATTGATGGTGATTACCTGCAAGACTGAACTCTAGTTGTTGTTGAGGTAATTGTCAATAAATTGATTTCCATGCAGTTTAATGCAATGCAACAGCCCACACATTTCACAGAAGTCTCTGAAATGTTAATTGTTTTCTGGAAAATGTCTAAATTTCACCTTTACAACCTGATATAAAAAAATGCACAAGTGAGTCAGTGTCTGTATATGTTATGAGTTGTTTGGTTTTGTGAGATGGTGATGAAACTCTATCCAAGCCTATAGCATTATTCTAAGCATGACTTATTGCTTGTCTGAATAAGGCACTTTTTTTGGGAAGTTGGCTTCGCCTGGGAGAGGAATTGCTTACAGTGCACAATTTGACTTTTTTTTGCATTAAAGTTAATTATTGGAAAAGAAATGCTCTTGGTGATTTTGTTTTAAGATGAGTGTATTGTTTATTTAAAAAATCGAATGCAGTTTCATGGACCATATGATTTTTTTTTTCATTTGGCATTCCAAAAGTTTTTCTGACTTTGTAGCTTGTTTTAAATGGCATCACTTGTTCTTGATGTTGTTCCATGCTTGTAGAAAAGCCTATTCCTTCTTCCATATCTTCATGTTCTCACCTTAATTCCTCACCCTTGTGAGTGTCTTGTTTTCAAGATGTGCTAGCTATTTCATATTGGCCCACAGCAGTGACTTATGACCCGATCACCTATCATGTTTTTTTTTTCTCCCTTTTTTTGTTGCAGGCTTGGGTTTCCGACCCCGCCCCCCAGACGAGCAGGTTGACAGCACTCTTGTCATGTTCTCCAAGGGCAGGGAGGAAGGATATACCTACTGGGTCAGTGCCATGGATGAATACCTGAAAGGTACGCAAAGTAGACCGAAGCGGTTAACCGCCATTCTCCCCTCCTTTGGGGGTTGGTGCATGTTGATCAACTTTCTTTTTGAGGGGTTTGGCCCCTTGTTATCCATCTGCTCGAGAAGAAATGTTTTAAAGGCATGTTCTGTCTCTTTTCAGCATATGATGTCGGAGATGGTCACGATGAAAACTCTGTGAACTGCAGCTTTAATAACCCTCCAAAAGAAGGAAAAGTTTGCCGATTCCCTCTTTCTGAGCTTGGCAGTGAATGCACCAAGGAGGAAAAGTATGGGTATTCTATTGGAAAACCCTGTATCGTCATCAAGCTTAACAAGGTATTTATCCTTTGTGTTTATATATTATGTTGAAACTGCCCCCATCCCATGATGTGATTGGACAGTGATGGGCATATCCTAAATGAAGTGAATTGTCCCATTGTAATGAATTGCTGATGAAGAGGTAATGAGTGCAATAGGGAGGGAGATGATTTGTTAATAGTAAGGAATATCAATGGCCTTTCATGTCTCTTGCTCTTGACAATTTTAGGATGGATTTGTGAACAGAGCTCTATCCGATAATGCAGCTTTATAGGAAATGCACTGAATATGTATAGGCCCTTGTGTCCTCTTGTAGGATATAGTAAAGGGAGGAATTTCTGAGAAGTGTGATGTTGCAGATTACCCTGTAAATATACAAGCAAAAAAGGATGGAAATAAGTAGATTGCTAATTGATATCTGAGGCAGAAATAGGGGATGAGCAAAGGGGATGAAAACTTGAGAATTGAATCTAATGATTACTAATACAACTGGACTCTGCATTGTGGGACATCCTGGGTGCCTGCAGTTGTATGTGCTGATTCTTGTTGGGTTTGATTTGGTGGATTTGGAATGCCAAGTTTATGGTGTTTCAGTGTGGTTCAGCAATTTCCCCTATAACCATTACCATTTCAGAGACTTCTGTGAAATGTGTGGGCTGTTGCATTGCATTAAACTGCATGGAAACTATAAAGGAGCATCAGGTGATGGGGCGGATAAAATGATAGCCCCTCCATTCCTAGGCGAATGGTAGGTTTATAAGCATCTGCTTCCCAACATATACAGCCAGAAGCTACTGATGAGATGGAGTTAATCTTTTGAGAAGTAACTGTACCTTACCTCACAGGCTTGTGGTCTTCAGAGATCTAGCCTCTTTTCCCATTTTATTCTTGGTCTTCACTACTGGATTTCCTTGGTTTTTAGATCTTCGGCTGGAAGCCAGAGCCTTACACCAGTCTGGACCAGCTGCAGTCAGATATGCCAGAGGCCCTGAAGGAAGTGATCAAGGCAGATGCTGAAAAGAACAATGGGGTAAGATTGTGTGGATCATGTATATTTCATTTAGAAGGAATTTGAACAAGTGCTTGAAATGAGATGGAAAGCAGAAAAATGAAATTTTGGTTTTGAAGTAGTTTTAAAATTAGGAAATGATGTAACACTTAGTACATTGAGTTTATGGCAGAAAGTTAAAGGACCTGCACAAAGTGCATATGGTGTGCATGTGTACACTGCTGCATCTCAAGAAAAAGAAGTTGGTGAACTGGGGAAGTGACTTAGACAACATAAGTAGGTTTCCACATAAGGCAAAGATGAAGCATTCATATTTTTTATAAACCCATGCATGGTACTGGATTGCTGGAAATTATTTTATCTCTTGGGAACTGGTATAATTGACCCCTGTGTGTGCTAGTCTTTGTTGCAGTTATGTTGGAAATTCCATTTTGCAATTTGATTTCATGTGATTTCATGTGATTTCTGTTGTATGAGTGCTGCTCTGTGCATTGCAGACACTGACTCCAATGGTGTGGATGAGCTGCCATGGAGAGAATCCAGCTGACAAGGAGAATATTGGCCCCATTCATTATTACCCTCATCAGGGCTTCCCTGCGTATTACTTTCCTTACATGAACCAGGCTGGATACCATACTCCACTTGTTGCTCTCATCTTCCAACAGCCCAACAGTGAGATACTTTGAAATATTTTACTCCTTGTCCATGGGTGTAATTCAGATTGGAACAATATCTATTGGTATTGCTGTGTTAGAAGCAACTAATGGCAAGGAATTTTTCTTTGCAGATGACTAAGTTAAAAATGTGTTAGTCAGTTGTCAATTCATTATTTCATTTTGAAAATGCAAAAAATAGTTTGCCTGTGAGCTGTGAAACTTGCAAATTCTGATTTCCTTGAAAATATTGTGGGCCTTTATGTTAATAGCTTAGTTCAGGCTGCATAAAGCTCCAGTAGCTTAGGGCTGGCTTCATGAATATTTAGGTATTTTTTGCATCATCTTTTTTTCTTGCCCTGATTGTCATTGTCATCAATGTAGGTGGAGTCCTGATCAACATTGAGTGCCAGGCATGGGACCAGAAGATAGTTCACGCCCGTCAGGAACGCATAGGCTCCGTCCACTTTGAGCTCCTTGTCGATCAGAAGGTCCCAAAGTTTTAGCATCTCATTTTCTCATGCATAGACCTATAGTCCATGTTGCAAGTTCTAGGTTGTGTCCCTGGATCTGGATCCCCCTTGAGAAACATTTCTGTCAAACCATTCTCTCTGTGCATTCACTGGCATTTATCATGTATTGGTGCTTTTTTGTTTTCTCTTGCTATTATTCTCAGAGTCCTTTGGTCTTTCCCTTTTTTTCCCACTACCATTGTTCACATTGTGGCCAACTGGGAATTGAACACCAGTTCAACTCTTAAGACCCAAGAAATA